AATTTTTTACTATAATAAAATTTAAATTTTAAACTCAAATCGGTGAACAATTACACTACGAAACTGGCTGGCTTCGGAAAGAGATAAAGTGGTTCTCAATGTCGGGCTGGTATTTTTTTTTTTTTTTGAAAGGATAAGGAATGGTATTAGGTACTTTATTAAACAAAAAATGGAAAAAGAAAAAAAATATATTAACCACTCATAAGATAATTAGAAGGGTAGTTTTGTAATAAAGTAGAAAAGTGGGTCATTTTTGTAGGAGTAACATATCCCGTATAGACTATAACGTAAGAGTCAAGACCAAAGAGGAGTTGCACATCCAACCGTATGTTATACGTATGTATAGTCTCTCTCTCTCTATATCTATCTTATCTGTGTGTTTTTATTTTTATTTTTTGACTTTCTACGTTTAAATCTTTCTCTTTCTCTCTCTGGGAGCTTTTCGTTGAATGACTGACTATTCCATAATCCTATCATTTTATTATCATTTAAATTAACACCAAACCAAACCCGGAAATTCTTCTTCCTTTCTCATCTTCTCCAATACATATCTTCAAATCATTTTTTTTTCCTTTAATTATTTAATTATTATTCTTCTTATTTTACTGGTCCGTTTCGAAACCATTAAAAGCTCTCTCACAAACCTCACCGGTTTCGAACCTAACAAACGCACATTTATAGTTTCACATACATATATACAAACACACACATACATACATACATATATATATATATATATAATATAAGTATATACCCACCCGCCTCTTCATTCTCTTTTCTCCTTAATTTCTCTAAACTCTGTATTTATTGTTAAAATCTAACTTACACTCTCACATTAATCTTTTTCTTTGGATAAGTCTCTCTCCGTCGGCTCTGTTCTTCTCTTCTTCTTTGTTTCTGTATGTTTTCTTTAACATTTTGGTCTCCCTGAAGTCTTTTATTAATTTTTTTTTATTTTTCTTTTAATTTTCGGTTCAGGCTTCAAAGGGTCTTTCCGTTTGGTTTCCAAGAAAGTTTGTGAGAAATGAGCACTTGGGTTTTTGTGGGTTGTTGGAGATGAAATACTCTGTTCTTTTCCTTTCATTTCTCGGAAGCCAAACAAGACTCCGTTTTTCGTTTTTTTTTAAAATTATGTTTAATTTTTTTTTTTGTTTTGTTGCAGGATATTACTCTGTTACCGTTATCACGAAATTTTGTAGAAGCTGGATCAGTGATCTCATTTTCAGGTTAAACTTTTTCTCAGACTATTCGAAATTTGGAAATCTTTCTCTTTTTCTTTCATTCTTTCGTTTTCATTTTTCTTTCCCTTTTCAATTTCTTGCTCTGTTTGTTTGCGTAGAAACTTTCTCCTTCGCTCTGTCTCTCTGCTTTTTCTTTATTGATTTGATTTGGTCCGTACATATTCTGCATTCCCAATCTTTGAAGAAAAAACCTTTTCTTAAGCAGAAGAAGAAACGTTTCAGAAACGAATTTTTAGAGAACGAGAAAATATTTGGTATTAAGGTCCTTCATTTTATGGATTCGAATTTAGAATTCAAATTTTATTAGGATAAAAAACTCTCAAAAATAATTATATTTAATTTTTTTATTACAGTAATACATAAATTTACGTATCAATTTTAATTAAAAACTCAAATCAGCGAACTAAACAGGTGAGTTCTTCCTTATTGTTGTTTTTTTTCTTAATTTTTTTTTTAATTTTTAAAATTCTTTTGAGTGTGGATGTCAATAATAATTATAGATAAGGTTGAATACCATCATCAATAACGAATGTGGGATATTTTTGCATTAATTGAGAATTATTCTTTCTGGCCCTTATTTGTGCAGAGAATCTCGATGTGAGCCTGATTTAGTATTGGTATTTATCAAGAAATTAAATCTTTTCCATTATTTGGATTTTTTTTGAATTAAAGTTCTCTATGATAGTTATAATAATAATAATAATAATAATAATAATAATAATAATAATAAAATAATAATAATAATAATAATAATAAAATAATAATAATAATAATATGATTATTATAATACATATGCCTGCCTTAGAAGACAGATAAGGTGACTTTGTTTTTTTTTTTTGGCCAAATCTTAATTAGAGGATGCATGTGAAGATCAAGTTTGAACTTCATCTAAAAGCCTAAGAACATTTCATAAAAATAAATAAATAAATAAAATTACACGAGGCAAGTTTCATTCTTTTTTCCAACCTGACAAATGCAGGTATGTTTTCTGTATAGATATGCCTTTCTTGTTCATTTTATCCTTGCATTTTTTTTTTTTTGGTACTATTGATATTTATTTGTTTTATTTTGTTTTTCTGTCAATATGTTGAGATTGAACTCTAGTCAGTATGACAAAAGAATTGTCTTGGAAGAGACAATCCTTGGATTAGTTTACATGTTAACAATTAGCATTTTTAACGTTAATTATTGCTGTGTTTACTTGCTATTTCCATAGGTCCTCACAAAAGTATTGTTAATTTCAACCATGTTGTCAAGATCTTGCATTAGCTTGTTGGAATTGGCATCTGGGGACATGTTGAATTTCCCACAAACCCCTAGAAATCTTCCGAGAGTGATGACCGCTCGGAGAATCATTTCCGACATAGACGAAGGGTTAAGATCTCCCTCACCTGAATGCTGCGAAAAGAAAATTATAGTGACAAATTTTTTGCCCCTACATGCTCAAAAGGATGCGAAATCGGGGAAATGGTGCTTCAGTCTCGACGAGGATTCACTTTCATTGCAACTTAAGGACGGTTTCCCCTCCGGTAGTAAGGTTGTTTTTGTAGGATCTTTGAAGGTTGATGTAGACTCAAGTGAACAGGAAGAAGTTTCTCAGAAACTGCTTGAGGAGTTTAGTTGTGTCCCCACATTCATTCCTTCTGAAATTCAGAAGAAGTTTTATCATGGATTTTGTAAGCAATATTTGTGGCCTCTTTTCCATTACATGCTGCCGATGTGCCTGGACCATTGTAATCGTTTCGACCGCCAGCTTTGGCAGGCCTATGTTTCCGCTAACAAAATATTTGCAGATAAGGTCATGGAGGTGATCAATCCAGAAGAAGATTATGTTTGGGTTCATGACTATCACCTCATGATTCTACCTACTTTTTTGCGAAAGCATTTCACTCGAGTAAAGCTCGGGTTTTTCCTCCATAGTCCATTCCCCTCATCAGAAATCTACCGGACACTCCCAGTCAGAGATGAGATTCTTCGGGCACTACTAAATGCAGACTTGATTGGTTTTCACACATTCGACTATGCCCGCCATTTTCTGTCATGTTGCAGTAGAATGCTTGGTCTTGAGTATGAGTCTAAGAGGGGCTACATTGGAGTCGAATACTTCGGCCGCAGGGTTAACATAAAAATTCTGCCAGTGGGGATCCATATGGGCCGCCTCCAATTCGCGCTAAATCACCCATTATCTTCCACCAAGGCTAAAGAGATTCAAGAGCAATTCAAGGGGAAAAAACTGATTTTAGGAGTTGATGACATGGACATCTTTAAAGGCATAAGTCTAAAGTTGTTGGCTTTGGAACAACTTTTGATTCAGCATCCTCGGTTGCTCGGCAAAGTAGTTCTTGTTCAAATTGTGAACCCAGCAAGGAGCACAGGAAAGGATGTTCAAGAAGCCAAAAGGGAAACATACATGACAGTTAGAAGAATCAACCAGACTTTTGGTTTTCCAGGCTATGAACCTGTTGTTTTAATCGACCGAAATGTTCCTCTACTCGAGAAAACTGTATATTACTCTCTGGCAGAATGTTTCATTGTAAATGCTGTTAGAGATGGTATGAATCTAATGCCGTATAAGTATACAGTATGTAGGCAGGGGACTCCAAAAATGGATGAAGCTTTAGGAATCTCCTCTGACTCCCCACGGACAAGTACTCTTGTTGTTTCGGAGTTCATAGGTTGTTCGCCGTCTTTAAGTGGAGCAATCAGGGTAAATCCATGGGACATAGAAGCAGTAGCTGATGCGCTCAATTTGGCAATCACAATGCCTAATTTAGAGAAGCAGTTGCGACATGAGAAGCACTACCGGTACATCAGCTCTCATGACGTAGCCTATTGGGCACGCAGTTTTTTCCAGGACTTGGAACGAGCCTGCAAAGATCACTATAGTAAACGCTGTTGGGGGATCGGTTTCGGTCTGGGTTTCAGAATTTTGTCCCTTTCCCCGAGTTTTCGAAAGCTGTCTATCGAACATATTCTCTCCACGTATAGGAGGACTAGTCGAAGGGCGATATTTTTGGATTATGATGGAACAGTGGTGCCTCAAGCTTCGATCTCTAAAGTCCCCAGTCCTGAAGTTATATCTGTTTTGAACAACCTTTGCAGTGATCCCAAGAACACTGTTTTTATAGTTAGTGGTAGGGGAAAGAACTCTCTTGGTGATTGGTTTTCTCAATGTGAGAAGCTTGGTATAGCAGCCGAGCATGGATATTTCGTAAGGTATGCTCTTTTCATCATTAATATTGCTGCTTCTTTTGATAGTCTTAAGTGTAAATTTGGACTATTGTGTCGGACTAGTTCATTATGATAACTGTGTTTAGAATTAGACGTCCTAATTCTATACCGGCGAGAGTAATGTAAAATTGCAGAAAAAAAAACAAGAACACAAAAAGTTTATAGGGACACAATTTACCGAGTTTGGCTCTCAATTCAAGCGCTACTTTCACTTTCAGCTACTGAAAAATTTCACTACAGTGAAAAGAAGTAGATTACAGTAGAGAATATCACACATTTTTTCCCCAACCTCTTTGTGTAGGGGCAATAATTAAGCTCCATGACTTAATTTGTTTTTCAGAAATGTAGGGAATCCGAAATAATTCCTCTTATTCTCTTTGATTATTCTTCTAGGTGGAGTAGTACATCAAATTGGGAAACCAGTCCCTTGGCTGCAGATTTTGATTGGAAACAAATTGCTGAGCCTGTGATGAAATTATACACAGAGGCTACTGATGGCTCCTATATAGAGCACAAGGAGAGTGCTTTTGTATGGCACCATCAAGATGCTGATCCTTACTTCGGATCTTGCCAGGCTATGGAACTCTTGGATCATCTCGAAAATGTTCTCACAAATGAGCCTGTGGTCGTTAAGCGGGGACAGCAAATCGTCGAAGTTAAGTCACAGGTGTGCTTGAGACGAGCTCCTTCTCATCTTCCCTTTTTTCCATTAGTTCCATTATTGTGTCTTAACTTTGGCTTATAAACACTGCAGGGAATTACTAAAGGTTTAGTCACAGAGAAGGTTCTTTCAAGGATGATCGAGAATGGGAAGCCAATAGATTTTGTGATGTGCATTGGGGATGACAGATCCGATGAGGACATGTTTGAAAGCATACTGCGCATTGCTTCTGATTCGTCTCTCCCTGCAGCTCCCGAGATATTTGCATGCACTGTTGGCCAGAAACCGAGCAAAGCTAAGTACTATCTGGATGATACATCTGATGTCATGACATTGCTCCAAGGCCTAGCTGCTTCAAGTCTCAAATCAAGGCCTGCCGCCGAAATTCAAGTCTCTTCCCAGATTGTTGTTTGAGACACAAGCCGGGGTTGTGCGCACCTATGATGTCGATGCCCCTTGCAATGTGCGCGGATATATAGTACAAGAATTCATGATTAACTCCTTACAATTGGTGCTAACATATTCATTCCTGGAAGGTCGGATTTCGCAGCTTCATGTTTCTTACTGACTTGCAGTGCTTTCATGAAGCTCCGGGTTTGTTTATACTTTCGGAAGTTGGAAACAGTTTAGATATGAAGTTGCATCTTTAAACACAGTCAGTAAATGGGGTTTTAACCTCCTAGTTCACAGGCTCAGGTTTATTTTACTCTTACTTAGTGTTTATAGACACAAGAGCATCATTAGTTTGTACATATGGATTGTCTTTGCTCTTAACATGAAATCATTCTTTCTTTGAAAGTGAAAGTTGGTTTTTTTGTTTTTTTTTTCTACAAGTTTCTCCGTGGCCACTCAAACTTGGCCCTGCAGCTTTAGAGAATGTTTGGTTCATGGAATCAAAATCATGATTTAGAATTATTCTCGGTTTACGTGTGTTTTTTATGAGAGAAAATACTGTAGCGACCACAAACTGGCCACTCAAACTTGGCCCTGCAGCTTTAGAGAATGTTTGGTTCATGGATTCAAAATCATGATTTAAAATTATTCTCGGTTTACGTGTGTTTTTTATGAGAGAAAATACTGTAGCGACCACAAATCATGATATGAACCATGACACGAATTTTTACTCCAAACGCACCATTACTTGTTTTGCATACTAAACTTGCTGGAGAATTGAGCATGTGGGTTGAATCATATTATATATATATATATATATATATATATATATAAAATAAGCTTGGT